CCACAGACTCGCCAAACTCAACATTTTATGCTCACATGTGCTGCGCTGGCCTCCTGTCTCAGCGGAGGGTGCCCCCATCTCCCCAGCTGCCCGGACCAGAAGCCTGGGTGTCATCCTTGGCGCCCCTGTGCATGTCAAAAGTCCATTCCACTCTTCCTTCCTGTATCTCTAGAACCTCACCTCTTCTCTCCATCCCAGAGTTAGGTCAGGGCACCCAGCTTCTTAGCTGGAATAAGACTTCTGCACTCCTCTACTGTTCCTGAGCAGAGATTAGACTACCTCTCTGTAAAGCTAATCTTCATCAATTGCCTCTCCTGCTAAAATTTCATCAATGGATCCCTGAGGCGGCTTTTGATTTTGTTTTAATACTCTCAAAAATTTTGATCCCAGTTTTGGTTGCAACCCAGGAAGCGCTCTGGTGACCCCAGAGCACAGCCAAGTTTAGGTGTCATCAGCTTCCTGGCCCTTGTGTACAGCCACCTGTCCAGAGCTCCCAGTCCAGACTGTTTCACTAACATGGAATCCTATCAGGCATGGCTTCTGGGGGCTCCTGCACATCCGGGACTGCGATGAGCTGCTCCCTGGGCCAGGCATCTTCTCCCCTCCTTTACTCCTTCTGATGACAGCATCATGAGGTGGAGACCCAGACCTCCACCCCAGAGCTTCCTGCCCTCGCAGGCTGGTCCCTCCTGTGCCTCAGACCTGCGCATGTCCCTCCGTCAGACACTGATTACACTGTGCTAAGTACTGACCATGACCCTGAGCTCCTTCCAGTCTTCACTGTGTCTTTTTTCTCTGAGCGTCCAGCAGAGGAGCAGAACGGGACTGATCTTCAGTAAATATTTCCATAAAGATGCAGCCTTTCTTAGGTCTTACATGTTAATGCCACTTTATTGGAGTATGACACACATCCTGAAAGAGAGACAAACTCTAAGTGTACAGCTCAGTTTCACAAAGTAAGCCCTCAACTTGCCATCTCAAGAGGCAAGGCCTTCTAGCACCCTGGCAAGCCCCCTTTGGCTGACTCCCCGGTGCTGCCTCCCCACAGCTCACTTCCAGAACTATGGTCTGTTCTCAGTCTGATCCTTATATGATGAAATTGTGTGGTGTGTACTCTCTGGTGCCTGCTTCTCTTCTCATCTGTGTTGTGAGAGTCAGTGAGAGTGCTGGTAGCCGTGAGATGCTCATTCTCATTTCAATCTTCGCGTTTCTTACAGCAGAATGGAAGAAGAATTCCTTGCTTGGGTGGGTCCTGGGGCCCTGAGCCTTCCGATCCCTGCACTGCAAGGGTCCACCCCCAAGAACCATTACAGGGCAAGCCCACCCTCTCTGGCCTCAAGCCCTGTGTCTGCGGAGGGGGGTCCCTGAGTGATTTCTCGGGTCCCTCTGGTCATTTCTGCTGCAAGCTCTTCATGCCTTGTGCCTGGCTCCCCTCCCCGTGGAGATGACTTCAGGCCAGGGGAATGCCAGGCTGGAGGCCTGATTCGATTAAGGAGGAAAGAGGAGCCTTGTGAAGCCACAGGGCAGGCGTGCCACCACACTGACCCCTTCAGAGGCTAGTGATAACAGGGCATCGTGCTGGTCCGAGGCGACCCTAGCAAACCTGATTACAGGGTCTCTGGCTGCAGCCTGCCTGTGCCTCTCAGAGACAGCAGTTTTATTCCCTTGTCTCAGACAGGCAGGTTTAAATTGAATCAGACCCTGGTCCTGGCACAGAATGGGCCATTCACTGGCCTTGCCGACCCCTAGCAAAACAGACCCCAAGGCCATATGGCGGTGCTGGGAAATTGGGTGCACGTGTGGCCAGTGGCCAGGTCTTGCAGCAGCCTGTACAGGCCAGCTCAGAGGAAGGGCCACCTCCAGGGTCTGTGGGCCCAAGCCTGGGCTCAGGGACAGAGGCTGGGCTGACAGCCATCCTGGGTTTGATGAGCAAAGAGAACATAGTGGACGGAGAGGCAGGAGTCTGAGGCTGTAGTCGAGCACATCACAGAACAGCAATGATTCAGCCCCTGCCTCGTCAAGTAGCGGTGGTGAAACCCTGGAGAATCGCTCAGCTTCCCTGGTGTGTGGCCTCACGTGGGGTCAGCACTGCTGTGAGGATGACATGAAATGAGGAACAGTCCTGTGCACAGACTCCATGTTAGTCTGAGGCTCCGGGAGGCCAGGGGGAGCCCTCAGGTCTGCAGCAGGGACCACAGGCCCCAGGCAGAAGCACTGACCACACGCAACGACGGGTATCACTCTGACATCTAGCTGTCCACGTGGCTGGCCCACGGCCCATCAGATGCCTGCTACCATGACCCTCCCGGAGGGGCCCAAGACTCTACTCCTGGGTTTACAGACAGAGAAGCCACTGCTCTGAGAGGTTAAGTGACCTGCTACAAGTCAGAGGTAGAGTCGGGGCTGGAAATCAGAGCAGTGTGGACCCGTAGCTGGGGGAGCATGATGCACTGTGGCAGCAATACCAGCACACGGTGAGTGAGAGGTTCAGGTGAGCCCTGGAGCGGAGGCATTGAAGGCCCAGTAAAAATGCAAAGATGAATCCTTAAGTATGGGTCTGCCTGCCACAGCAAACATGCTCCACTCAGACCTGGGGCTCCGGCTCCCAGGCAGGCTGAGGAAGCTCTGATCTCCCCCTTTCCTGTGCCCCAGTGGGCAGCACCCTGACAGCCAGCCGGGTTCGGCTCCAGGTCTCTGCTCCTCGGCAAAACTGGTCTTGGGTTCCACCACTGAGCACCCCAGAGCATCCCCTTGGTTCATGGGCTTCAGAATCAGACCTGCCGCCTCCTCCTGTTTCCATGGAAACACCTCAGGACCCATTGATCAACTCTCACTTGAGGCTTTCATTAGCCTGAATGTTAGAATAAGTTTTGATTCAAACATGACACTTTTTAATGCAGTGAAAAACTCATTTTGTACAAAACCCCATTATGTGGAACAGACACGCAGGTTGATGGCCAATTTAGTTAATAGAGCTTTGCAGCTGACATTGAATTAAATCTACAGGAAGCAGCCTCTGTTTTCCCGGGAAGAGTCACGTGCAGAATGGCAATGGGCTGGGGGTACAGGGGGAAGGCTGCCCCCTGCCTGCCCCTGCCCCAGCCTGCTTCCGCCACTCGCTCCTCCCTCAGCACAGAAAGCACAGAGCATCCTTGCTCCAGCACCTCTTGGGGGCCTCTGCTGCTCAAGGACAGGCCTAAGCTCCCTAGCAGGAGACTCAGAACTTCCCCTGGGTGGCAGCCTTCCTTGCGCCTGAACCCTCGTCCTTCACTCCACTCTGCTTGCCAATCTTTGAATACACCATGGTCACCCAGCCCGTTGCGCCTGCCCATGCGGAATGCCCTACCCCCTATATGAACATGCATTTCATAGTATGCTAAATATCTGTGCATGCATGTGGCTCTTCATTTTTAATTATCTCAAGACATTGCTAATTATGTCTGAGCCTCAGTCTCCTCCTCTATAAGAGGGGAATAATAATGCCTACTAAAAAAAATATATATATATGCAAGATATCTAGTGCATGGCATGACTTGAGGTTGCATTGCTTACCAACTGAGTAACCAGTTCCCTTGCCTCTCTGTGTCTGCATTTTCTCACCTGTAAAAGGCACATAACAATAGGGCTTTCCTCCCTGGACTGCTAGGGGAATTAAATAAGTTAATACACAGCTGGTGCCTGGGATAAAGGTGCCATGTGTGAGCACGTGACAGTAACCATCTGCTCTCTGGAATGGAGTGCCACCCTCTGCTCCTCACTCTCAATGAGGAAACCCTCCACAAGATTGGCCAGAGGGTAGTCAGAGATACACAGGTGCTCTGGGCCTGAAATAGCACCCCCAGCTCCAGGGAGGGTCTCACACCACTGGGGGTGTGGGTGGGGGCCATGGAACACACAGCTGTGCTAATCAGGGCCCCTCCTCCTTGATGACAGTGCCTTGGGGTCAGTGGGGCAGGCTGGGACAGGACACATCTGACCTGTTTTCATCACAAGTGCTGCTGTGTGGGTCCCCGGGGCCTGAGAGTGGGTTCTTCAGGAAGCCATTGCTCTGCTCAGGGTAATGCTGGAGCAGGCTGCCTGTGCACCTCACACCCCCTTCTCATCCTGGGCCTTTGAGTCTCACCCAGCACCCTCAGCCCACCTGGGAGTTCATCTGGATCCTTCCATCAGGTTGCTAGCCACCTCAGAGAGCTATGTTGCATCAAAATCACCCAGGTCACTGGCGATGATTCCTGGGCCCGGGCAGGGAGGGTGTGGGATGCAGGGGTCACACAGAAGAGGGGCCAGAATCCTGCTGGGTGTGTGTGGCCCAGGGAGAGTTAGTGTCCAGGAGGGACGCAGAGCTTAGCCTGGCTTTGAAGGGCTATTGGGATGTTGCCAGGTGTGTAGGGGGCGCTGGTGCAGGGGAGTGGCTGAGGCAGGCTTGCACTTTACCCTGGAGAAGTTCTCTCTGCTGGGAAACCAGAGGCTCGGGATGGACCACCGAGAGGTGGAGTGTGGAGATGTGCACTCTCAGCAAGAAAACATTTGCTGTTGTTTTTCACCCAGGCTAAGCAAGTGGGGGAGAAGATGGTGCAGTGGCAGCCAGCCAGCCCAGGCAGGAGAAGCACGCCAGATCCGCCACACAGCGGGCTACTTCAGCGCAGCCTGGACGATAATTATCCAACAGTTGTCCTGTTATAAAACGCTCTGGATCCTGAGGAGTTTACAGCAACCCAGTGTGTCTGGGAGCCTCGGGCACCATCTCACAGAGGAGGGGGCAGCCCGGCCGTGGAGCCAGGCCCCTCTTTCCGGCGCCGCTGCTGCCCCCAGGGGCAGGGTATCCCCACCCAGCTGTCCAACTGCAGCCTCTGTTGTCATGGTCACCTGGAAAGTCCCACCTCCTCGAGGGGACTGAGCTCAAAGGTGAGAACAGTGTTATGTGCAGCCAGCACTAATTATTAATCTGTCACAAATGCCACTATTGGTCAAACCCATGCCCATGGTGCCAGGCCCTGTTCTGTGTCTCTAGTCCCTGCTCTGAAAATGGACCACAGTGTCGGGGGAGAAAGGGCTGATTGGCAGCAGCAGTGTAAAGGACAAGGTAGAGGTACCTGGGGGGTCCCAGCCATCCTCAGAGGCACAGCAGAGGCACCAAACGTGGGCACTGTAACCACTGGGGATAGTTTCTCTGAGGCCTTAAAGGCAGAGTAGGAGTTTTCAGGTAAAGGGGAGGGTGTTAAAAGAAAAGAGAACAGCGTGAGTGATTCCTGGAGGGGAAGGAACTGCTGTAGAGATAAAGTAAGAGAAGCTCCAGAGAGGTGGCAGGGTCCCTGCAGCCAGAGGCCTGAGGAATCGGTTTTGGGGCACTTCAAAAGGGTTTTAAGCAATCCATCAAAATGTCTTTTCATGAAGATCACTTGGGTTCTAGAGTAAAGATGGTTTCTAAGGCTTAAAGCCCAAGCTGAGGAACCTTGATTTGACCAAACAACAAGAAACAACTCTTCAGTCACTTGATGCCAAATTCATGCAAGAGCCGCAGACCCGGGTCCCCTTCTGTTGGCCCTCGTACAGATGCATAGGTGAGTAGCTCCTGGGGAAGCCGGAAAGAACAGCTAAGTCCTTGAAGGGGGCTCCGTGAGTCCTCATCTTCCAAGAAGCAACATTGGGCCTGAGAAGTGGGGGTTCATCTCTGTCAGGCACAGCATGGCACCGGATGCCTGCTGGGCCCTAGAAGATTTGAGAGGTTTGCTAAGGTCCTGAGGCCAGAAACAATGGCTTCCCTTTTGTTTTCATGATTTCCTGTTAACAGAAGGAAAATCCCAGAGTAGCCTTCCTTGTGTAGTTAGGGGGAGGTTCCTAAGTTTTGAAAAGGCATTGAATCCTGTCTCTGATTGGATGAGTAGAAGAGGAATAAGAGAGAAAGAGGGAGACAGGAAAGGATATAGAGGTGGAGGAAGTAGGGCGAGACAGGAAGTTTGAATGTGAGAAGAGTGAGATGCTTGTTTCTCCTAAAAGAAAATCAGGTTCAGCCACAAAGTCGTGAAGTTATGAACAGTGGGGGTGCTGCTGGCTCAGCCTTCAGGTCTCCCTGAGCATTTTGGTGCAGGCATTTTTGGTTGGGTTGGGACAAGTTGTGTCAGTCAGGGTCTAGTTAAGAGACAGAAACCGTAATGATTACTTGAAGATAGAGAACTTAATATAAAGAACTGTTAACTAGGTATAAAGTTGGTAACTAGGTGACTGGAAAGATAAAAGAGAACTCTGAAGGCTCACAGACAGAACCATACAAGAAGTGGCCTACCACCCTCCAGGGGTGGCGGGAGCGAAGCAAAGCCTTTGTGTTTTAAAACACTGAAATCTAGGGAAAGGGTCCCCAGAGCTAAGCCCTGGGCACCGGGTGGGAGCTTTGCATGGCTGGTGCTGGGGTCTCTGAGGGGAGGGCAAATTGAGTCTGGTCAGCAAGAAGTAGGGAAACTAAAAACTGGATTCAGACAAAGCTACAGAAAGGAACTGCCACCACCAGGATGAAGAAGCCCAACTGGAGTGACGCTCAGAGGAGGAGCAAGTTCCCTCAGCCTTCAAGGCTCCCCTGTGTGCAGAGCCTTATAGGAAGCCAAACACAGAAATAGAGTTTGCAGAATCCCATCCCCAGGCCCGTCATGCTGGTTCTAGAAGTAGGTTCTAGAAGTAGCTAAGAGAAAATAGTTATTGCCATTATAGCTCAGCGCATGAGTACCAGTCTCCTTGAGTCTGGGATGTCACACAAGGCTTGCGTTGGGAGAAGGATATTGAGTTGGGTGTCAGTATAGAAAATGTGGGAAATACGGAGGGAAAAAAGAAAGAAAATTACTCATAATTCTGCTCCCCAAAATGATCTCTGCTAACACTTTGGTATATTGACTTTCTGTCATTTTTCTGAGGGTAGTCTTAAAACATGGTTTTAGTCTTACTTATATAACTTTATATACCTAGTATTCTTATGTCATAGCACACTATATTACAGGTTGAACTGTGCGCTTCCTCCAACAAAAGATGTCAAAGCCCTAACCCCCTTGTGACTGTCATCTTATGTGGAAATAGGGTTTTTGCAGATGAGCAAGTTAGGATCAGGTGGCCCCTAATCTAATAGGACTTTTTATAAAAAGAGGAAATTTGGGTATACACAAACACACACACATACACACACACACACACACACACAGAATACCATGTGCACATCGAAATTATGCTGCCACAGTCTGATGAACACCAAAATTCACCAGCAGCTACCTGCAGCTGCAAGAGGCGCCTGGATCAGATTTGCCCTCAGAGCCTCAGAAGGAACCAACCTGTCAACACCTTGACCTCAGACTTCTGGCTGCCACAATGCTGAGACGGCAAATTTCTGCTGTTTAAGCCTCCAAGTTTGTGGTACTATGTTATGTACGCCCCCACCCCACCCCAGCAAACTAATAAATAGGAAGAGCATAAGCATGTGCCTGTTACTCTAAGCACCTCCTAAACATAATTTTTATTACATATAATATTCTACTAAGTGAAGATAGCCTAATTTATCCTATTTTGGACATCTTTTGGCTATTGTAAATAGGATAGCATTATTATTATCATCATCTTGTTTTCTTATTTGGGATTATTTCCTTCAGATAGATTTCTTAAAGTAAAATTAGTGGGTCAAATGATATATTTTTAAGGTTTCAAGCAAAACAAAACTTTCTATTAATTATAAAATTTATGTACACTTATACATTATTTATAATAGGAAGGAAAGGACAAATATGAAAAATGAAATCACACCAGCCAGAGACGTCCCATACAATTTTAACCTATTTACTTGCAATTATTTTTCAGGCTGTAGACACTTACTTTCCACACAGTTACGTTCCCACCAATGTACTCTATGAGAAATCTGTCTTAGCAACAATGAGTTTTATCACCTTTTAAAATCTTCTTGAATTTGAGTGGTAAAAATCATGTCACAGTCTTACTTGAGAATGTGATTTCTAGAATATTATGAAGTGCTCTTTCACTGTTTGCCCTTGGGTGTACAGCCTAATGAAGTCCTTTCTAGGTTTTTAAAAAATCAACGTCTTAGTAGTTTTCTTATACATCTGTGTCATGTCTTTTAACATGACATATTAATCTTTTGCTACACTGTTTACAGATTTCCCCTTACCCTTTTTTTTCAATCTTTTAACATAGGTCATTTTTAATGCTCATCTGATGCATTCAATCTATTGGCTTCTTTTTGTGTGTGATTTCTCCCACCACATTGAGGTGATCTCCCCATTCAGAATGTAATTATTTATATGTTCCAGATTTCACATGGCTTGTATTTTCATATTTAATTTTTTAGTCCATTAGAAATTTATTTGAGAGTATCCTATGAAATGAGAATCTAAAGCTTTGAGTTTTTAAAATAGCTTCCAAATTGCTCCTGCATAATCTGCTGAATGATCCTTCCCTTTTGTGAGGCCTATTGCAACAAACATTAAATTCCTATGTATCTAGAGCTAGTTTTGGTCCATTTGCTTCTGTTTCACTGATCCCTATGTTCATATTTATGTTGGTACCTTATCTTTCAGCTGCTTTGAAAAGAGGTAAGGTGAGTTTCTCCAATTTCTGTCTCTATTCTTGTTTGTTTTGTTTTTCTCTTAGCTACTCACATCTAGTCTTTCTTCCAGGTGGCATTTGGGATGGAAGGGGCATTTCTTTGAGCTGCTACCTTCCAAGGGAGAGTCTGCTCCTCCTCCCGCTGTATTTCTGACACCCCTAGAGCCGGCCCGATAGAGAAGAAGCACCGAGATTGTGAGCAGTGAACCTCTGCTCATTTCAGGAATGGAGGCGTCTGAGACCCCTGAGGCTTGGAAGGCACGGCAAGAGCCAGTCCTGGAGGAGAGGGAAGGGTAACATGCACAACTGCCCCGACCTTCCAGACTGACTGGAGTACCTGCCCAGGCCGAAGGGTGGCAGCACCTCCCAGGCCCGATTGATGACAATCACACAGGGTTGGTCTTCATTCCTGGTCCAACTCAGACCGGCGGAAACCAGAGTCTCTGAAGGAGGGGCCCAGGAATCTGCATGCCAGGTTCTTCACATCAGACAAGGCTGAAAAGCAGTGCTAGGAGAAGAAGGCAGAGCAAAGAGGAAACCAGGAAGCCATCCCGACTACCCAGATGGCAAAATCGACACCAAGAGCCCAGTGGGGAGAAAACCCTGGGAACGGCTCCTAAAAAGGGTTACATTCCAGCTGCGCCTGAGATCTTAGAGATGGAATGACATGGAAGGAATGATAGCTATCATGGCAGAAAGGAGCAGGCATGCTTTTGTCAGGCCTGGGTGAAGCAAAAGGGCCATTTCAGGAAACAGAGACAGATTCCAAATATCTTCAGCAAACATTCACAGAGCTCTTTGCTTGGGTACAGAAGATAGAGACAAATCGCACACAGTCCCGTGCTTAAAGAGCTCAAAGACAGGTAAATAGAAGATTACAATAGTATCTGATAAGTGTCATGACGGAAGGATGAGGCAGGGAGTCAGAAATTCATTCAGCCCAGAGCAGTCTCTCTAGAGACTTCAGAGAGATGACCTTGTGTCAGGCTGGAAGGATGCCTAGTACATTACTGGACCATGGTCGGGGTGGGCTTGAGAGGCGTGGGGAGAGAAGTTGGAGGAATTTTAGGAAGCGAGAACAAATCGAAGGTGGCTGAGAAGCAAGAAAAAGCTTGGTGTTTTGAAAAAAGTGTGAGTGTTTCATTCTAAGAAGTGCCTAGTGTGTTTGTGCAGAAGCCAGGCTAAAAAGCTTGGGCTTAACTCTGAATTCAATACGGAACCACCAGAGGGTTTAAATAGCACAATAAGGTGATCAGATTTGCATTTTAAAGAGATCATTCTGGCTGCCACGGATAGACTGGATTTAAGAGGGACAAGATCAAAAGTAGGAAGATCGCTATGGAGGTTGTTACAAAAGTCCAGGCACGACCTAAGGAAATGGGAATGGGTGGTGAAGGAGGAGGGGGTGCAGATGAGAGAGAGCAGATCTGGGTAGCTCGGGTTATAGGATTGGAATTGCTCTTAAAAATTGCTCTATCTACAAGATTTCTAGCTTTAGAGGATCCCCTGGGTGCTGCTCTAGGGTGGAGTGACTTCCCCCCCTTGCACCATTTATTCTTTCAGGCTTGTCTGGAAAGTAAGATGCTCTGATGGGTCCATTGAGGGCTCCATCTGGTATGCTCTAAAAGTGGGACCAAACCAACATTTATTGTACCTTGTCCTGGGAACTTACATTTTCTTAAGCCTTAAAGCGATTCTACAAAGTATATATATCATTGCTATTTTGCAGATAGGGAAGCTGACCCAGAAAGGCCAAAAACATGCTCTGGTATGTAGAAGTAGAACAGATTTTTGTGTACTGATCTTATATCCTGCAACCTTGCAAAACTCACTTGTGAATTCTAATAGCTTGTTTTGTAGATTTCACTGGCCTTTCTACATAGGTGATCAAGTCCTTAGCAAACTAAATTTTGCTTCTTCCTCTCCAATTAGTTGCCTTTTTCTTTTCCTGCCTCACTGCCCTAGCTATAAACTATAATGTATGACACTGAATGGAAGTAGTGAGAGGGGACACCCTCGTCTTAGTTCTGATTTTAGCGGAAGAGAATCCAGTCTCACCATTAAGTAGAATGTGAGCTGTAGGTGTTTTGTAGATGCACTCTGTCAAGCTGAAGAAGTTACCTTCTATTCCTAGTTTACTGAGAACACGCAAAGGTCAGATGTAGGATTGGAACTCATTCTCTTATACATAAAAGCCTATGTGCTTGGCCCTTCCAGCAGCAAGAATTAATATTTTTTCTCCATTTGTTGCCAGCTCATTTTACAAAAAGTCAATTTTCCCCACCCCCCCCTGAAAATTTTTTTTTAACTAGGCAATGGGAAGGAACAGATTTCTCAAAACCTGTTTCATCAGCCTTTGATGAACGTTCTGTGTTGCTCTAATGTACAGGTTCTTATTTCTCATCAGCTAGACTCTTCATTAATTTCATGTAAGTGGTGTAATTAAAGTAACTGTTAATTGGTGTATTACTAAGGTGCCATTATGGTATGTGACAAGCCTTAATTAGCATGTGGTCTGGCACTCAATGTTCTCAACGAATCACTCAGAAACAGAGATTGTTCTCTCAAGAGCGGTACTTGATATGAACAGAAAGGTGGTGCAGTTTTAAAGCAAAGGGAGGCAGAGAGAGAGAGACAGAAAATAATCTCTAGTGGTTTCTTTTTTTTTAATGGAAGTGGACTCTTCACCACCCCAGTTAACAGCACCATCCACAGGAGAGTAGAGAGGGCTAGACACCACTGGGTGGACTCCACCAACTGAGAACAATGTACGAAGAAACCACCTCCCCTTATCTCAGTAAACACAGATAATCTCTTTAACCAATGTGATTGCTCTATAAAATAGGTGACTTCCAACAGCACAGGGATCTCACTACTTCCTCTAACCTAGAATGTTCTGGAAAATTTCTAGTGGCATTTACAAGAGTCACCTCACTTATTCTTTCTTATATTAGTACAGCCACCTCTCTATCCAATAAATATTTTCTGAGCACCCACTCTATGCCTAAGGCTCTAAGGAGATCAGAAGAATGTGACATGACCCTGCCTTTGAGAAGATTCTGAACACAGTGTCTTTGTTCTCACGGTCTCACGGTAGCTTGCTTTACTTCCACGAGGTGCTTATTACACGGCACAGTAACTGACTTTCTCCCATCAGTGTCTGCCAGGGAAGTTACAGTCCTTGAAGGACATCTTATTTTAGTTTGTACCCCTGGCCCTCAAGATAACTAGTACCACAGCTGAAATATTAATTAACATGCTGTTAATATGAATCATTCCATTTTCATTCATGGTGTTAAAATGGATGGTGGAGTGTAGCAGAAAGATTATAACTTAAGTATTAGAACACTTGCCAGCTGGGTAAATACAGATCAATCACTTCGTCTTTTTGTGGCCTCAATTTTGTGTTCAAAATGGGAATGAAAATAAGTCATATAGTTTTAAGACTGATGTGGGTGTTAAGGTAACACACATCAAACTGAATATTGCCATTCCAATCAATTATTAATACACTGTTAGTTACTAATAAAAAATTTCACCCATACCATTTAAGATAATGCCCCCAATGACTCAAAGAACATTGATTGCTTCTTCTGTTCTGAAAATTTTCCAAAATAGTTGATTTCCACCATTCAGGGAACTCTTCTAATATCTAACAGCCTAATGATCAGAAAGAATATCTTTAAGACAAGACTTCATCCAAGTTCCTAGAGATATTTATTAAATGCAAACTCATAGGTTGTGTTTGTTTAGTTTTTATTTTAATCAACCGAAAACTGATAAACTGTCTATCATTTGAGAGTCGAACCCCCGGGCTGCCAAGCTGCATATCCTGGTTGAGCGCCATTCACATGACAGACTCCAGGGGGCGCCACTAGTGCAGACAGCATCCTGGACGACAGTAATTCTGGTTCTGAGTACAGCCTTTACTCAGGCCTTACTTCTTGTGATAATTTCCTAACACCAGAATCATTTCATAATTTTACTTTTTTTTTTACTTATAAGTTAGTATATTTTATATGTAAATTTTAGAGATATATTAATAAATTTAGCAAATCTTTATATAACTCAATCTGTAGAGTAACCCAAGCGCTTAAGGACCACGTTAAACAAATGCTACAATATCATCCCAGACAGAAACCTGATCTGGATGTATATGACAGGTGGAGTTCCTGGCTGTGTAAGTCAGTTGCCAAGGTCTCGCTGAGTCGGTGAAACCGCGCTTAGGTTAGCTCAAGTCTACCCTCTGAAACTATTGGGAAAAAAATTACAATATCCTACCATGTAATTCACATGGTGAATTTATAAATTAAGAGATTGTGTATTAGAATACTTGGCACTTTGTCCAATAGCTTCAAAGAAGGCATATAATTATGATCAAAGGGTTAATGCCTGAGAGTTTTATTCTGATATCAAATTATTCTAAGTCAAGACAAGAGAACTCTATAAATATATTTTGTTATGGCAGCCTCTCTCTGACTCTCAGAAACTTCTCTCAATGAATGTCATTATCCAAGGCTGCAATTTTCAGACTGTGCCTGCACAGATAATGGCTATTCATGCATTGTATAACTCCCAGTGAGGAAACGGTCTCAACTTCTCTTTTAAAAAGCTCAACAGGCTAGAAAAAAAATGATTGAAGACAATAGCTTTTAAGGTCTTTCTAAAGGGGCATAATTTTCCAGAAGCATCTTTTTTTAACCCTGTAAGAAGCCAGCATTGCTTCTGGCCAGGTATTTCTTTCAAGCTCTTTTTAAATAAGCAGGTATTCCAACATTTTACTTTGGATATCAATTGACAAAGTGGTGTACATGTACTCAAGATAAATGTTCAGTTTAGCCTCTAATAGTCCACTGGGAAGGGCAGGACTGGACTTTACCCATTCATTTAAAGAACAGGTCAGTGCTTATTGGTACCAGACAGTGTTCTAGGGGCTGAGGCTTCCACAGTGAACTGAGACAAGTCCCTACATTCATGAAATTTCCATTCTAGTAAGGAAGACAAAAGCAACAAACAAACATATTTTAATGTGTCAGAAAATGAAGGGCTATAAGGAAAAATGGAGCAGGATGGGATGACAGTGACACAATGTTTTTAGAAGCATGGTGATTGTTTTTTTTTTTTAATGAAAGGGTGTGGAAAAATATTTACAGTAGATGTAACTATCGAAAGACCTATCTAGAACATATAAAGAAGTTTACAACAGAAAGAAACCTTCACCAGAGCAAAAGAACTTTACAACTCAACAATAAGATGATAAACAATATAAATTAAAAATGACAATCTAATTTTAAAATGACTACATTTAACAGACATTTCAAACAGCAGATATATGAATGGCCAATAAGCACATAAGAAAACATTCAACATCTTTAGTCATCAGGGAATGTAAACTAAAACTCCAGTGAAATACTACTACAAATTTCCAGGGGGAGTGGTGGGCTTGGCTTCTCCAAGTTGCCTATAACAAAATGAGAGAGCAAAGAGGTAAAGTAATAAGTGGCTTTTTAAATAGAAAAAAAGTTACCCATGTGAATTGAAACCTCATGTTCTCACAAAAACCCACACACAGATATTTATGGCAGCTTTATTCACAACTGCCAAACCTTGGAAGCAACCAGGATGTCCTTCAGTAGGGGAATGGACAAGTGAACAGTGGTACAAACATACAAACCAAGTAGGATGGGGAAAATTTTTTTTAAAGACTTTCAGTTTGTTAAAGATTTACAAACTAAGCATTGGCAAGGGTGCAGAGCAACGAAATGTCACTGCTGGTGAGAGTGTACAATGTCATTATTGCTGGTGAGAGTGTAAAATGGGACAACACTTTGGAAAATAGTTTGGCTTTTTCTTGCAAA